GGCTCTCAAAGACCTGTTACTGTGCCTTTAAAAAGTCCACCTCTACACCACTCATTAATATAACTTAGTAGCACCTGTCTGAGCTCTTTAAAGACACCTGTCCACCCCACAGTCAGTCAGACACCAACTACTACCATGGGCAAGACCAAAGAGCTGTCAAAGGACGCCAGAGACAAAATTGTGGACCTCCACAAGAATGGAAAGGGCTACGGGGCAATTGCCAAGCAGCTTGGTGAAAATAGATCAAAGTAGAACTTTTTGGTCTAAACTTCACTCGTCGTGTTTGGAGGAAAAGAAGGATGAGTTGCATCCCAAGAACACCATCCCTACTGTGAAGCATGGGGGTGGTAACATCATGCTTTGGGGGTGCTTTTTTGCAAAAGGGGACAGGACGACTGCACTGTATTAAGGAGAGGATGAATGGGGCCATTTATTGTGAGATTGTGAGCAACAACCTCCTTCCCTCAGTCAGAGCATTGAAGATGGGTCATGGCTGGGTCTTCCAACATGACAACGACCCAAAGCACACAGCCATGATAACCAAGGAGTGGCTCTGTAAGAAGCATATCAAGGTTCTGGAGTGGCCTAGCCAGTCTCCAGACCTAAATCCAATAGAACATCTTTGGAGGGAGCTGAAACTCTGTGTTGCTCAGCGACAGCCCCGAAACCTGACAGATCTAGAGGAGATCTGTGTGGAGGAGTGGGCCAAAATCCCTGTTGCAGTGTGTGCAAACCTGGTCAAGAACTACAGGAAACGTTTGACCTCTGTAATTGCAAACAAAGGCTTCTGTACCAAATATTTACACTGATTTTCTCAGGTGTTCAAATACTTATGTTCAGCAGTGCAAGACATATAAATTCTTTAAAAATCATACAATGTGATTTCCTGAATTTGTTTTTTAAATTCTGTCTCTCAGAGTGGGAATGCACCTACAATGTGAATTTCAGACCCCTCCATGATTTCTAAGTGGGAGAACTTGCAAAATCGCAGGGTGTTCAAATACTTCTGTTCCTCACTGTATGTTTTTCCCCTCTGTTTTCATATGGTGATTTGGCCAGAATCACACCTCCTGTATTAAATGCCCCCACTCTGGATAAAGGAGCACAGGGGGCACATTTGGACTGGAGCATTGTCAGTATGGGGAGAGGGGTGTTAGTGTATGTAAATCTGCTAGTACATCTAACAAATTGAAGCTGAACTCCAGCTAATACTTTATAATCAGTTACAACAGTATTCTTTCTTTTTTGGGATAAAAGGTTTTTCATAAATAAAAGCTGACCATTGTAAGCACCCCTGCCAGTGTTAAATGATTTTTTTGAATTGCTGTAACTGCAACAGAGCTTGTCCTTCTGAAAAACAACAGACTGGCTGGATCACCAGATGAAAATAGAAGGAAGAAAGCCTAAAATATTTCCCTTTGGGTTTAATACTGCTGTAAGCATAAACTCAACAGCATAGTAAGTAAAAGAGTAATCTGGAACTGCAAAAAATAGTTGACCAATTGTGTTCAGATGTCAAAGGAAGTCAGCATAAAGTAGAACTATAGGCATTTTTTTTTTACATTTTGGATAGAGCAAAAGGAGGGTTAAAACCTGTCATATTTATTTTCGCCATCGGTGTCCTACTGAGGAGACTTCCCTTCCACTTCCTGTCCCATAGCCAAACAAGAAGTGAGAGGAAATCCCTGCAAATTAATGGAATTTCTTGGGGACTCCCAGGTCACCAGAACTAGTGTTCCCATTGAAAGATTTCCCCTCTATTACTTTTCTGACGACAACCTAAAATTTGGGATTTCTTGGGATTTGGTAAGCAGGACAAATTGAGAGGGTGAAGCACTCTAATGGGGACACAGACAGCAATAAAAACTGACAGGGGTTCTAATACCTCTCCACTTTATCTAAAACAAAAAAAAAAGGATTTGCCTTTAGTTATACTTTAAAGGTAAATTCTTTTGTTAACGCATTTGATGATGCCACCATCCGCTTAACACATTTCATTTGTAAGGTTAGATAAGCAACAAGAAAAAAAAGTGTCTACCCTTCTTCGAATATTCGCCTCTCTGCAGTTGATCTATCTGCAAGCAACTGTTCTAAAATCAAATGACTTTCCACAATTATTTTCGAATGAAATTTAGAAGGCCTGTTTACACATGCGGTACCCTCCAAAAAAGGGATCCGCATTCAGATGGCTCTTCAAAGAGCATTTGACTAGTAATAAGTCGGATTTACATCGACCCCCCTCACCACCTCCTTTCATCTCTAAACCCCCCACGCAGCTGCAAGTGTGGATGAGGACTTACAGTGTATGGAGGCCTTAACTTCTATGACTAATCACTGACCACAAAATCAATAAATTACAATGGAACAGAACATATTAGAGTGCAGCAATGAAAGGTTCATTCACACCTAGATATTACCAGTTTTTATATGCCATTTTAGAATAACTGTGTAAAAAAAAAAATTGTTCAACAGGAACCGTTTAAGGTGTGCTAAAGCTTGTCTAAAGCAGAGAGGTGTGAATGAGCCCTAAATGAAAACCTGTCAAGTTAAAAACATTTTAGATTTGTGAGCACACTAAAAGCAGGGTATACACACTGAGTTCTTTGTGATCAACAGCAGGTTGCATGAAAGAAAAACAATCTCACAGATGCACATCAATCGACAAACGCAGGTTTTCCAGCATGACAGTTCAACAGAAGCCGGTCATTACAGCCTGGCGATTTTTGTCATGTGTATACCCAGCTTAAGCTGTCAGAGGGTACCCTAAAATATGTCCCCCTCCTACCAGTGCTTCTGCAGCCTACATGGTTGCCTATGCAACACTGCATAGATCAGCAGCTACACAGAACTGAGCAACCCTATAATTGGGCATGGCATCTGGTGCCAGTGTGTGTACATACATAGACACTCCACCTAACAGTACTTTGGCCTAGCATTAGGTTCTGCAAACATGGGAAGCGATGTGGGCATGCTTACAATCTCTATACCATGGACATTGTTTTTTTAGCAGGCTGCAGCACAGCAGAAAGATACAGAACAAAAAGGTATCTTGGGACCCTTGATCGTGCCCTCTATCCGGTGGAGCTCAATTTAACCAATTTTCAACACTAATGCAGGCCATAGATGGGTTGAAAATCAGGTGATTTTTCAGCCGAAATAGAAAAAAAAAAAAAATTGGCCAATTTTCTCACTGTTAATGGTTTAATTGGCTGGCCATTTTTCTGGATTTTGGCACATTTTTTTTTTTTATCGGTAAAGTTGGAAAAAAAATCAGAGGAAGAAGAAGAAAGAAGAAGCAGAAAGAAGAAGTATAGCGGCTGCAACAATGTATCTATTTGTATCTGGATAAAAACATCTGTATCCAAAATGGATACAATGTTGCAACCGCTATACTTTTTCATGTCAAATATAATAGCGGAGCTCTCTGCAGGGACAGACAGTAATTAAATGCGGCCGTAGACGGGACGAAAATTGACCGTTTTTTTACCGTTGGTGGTAACGTCGGCCTATTGAACGACCGATTTTTCGGTTTTTTTTTTTTGTTTTTTTTTAAATGGCCGGTTTTCGACCCATCTATGGCCTGCATAAGGGATTGCTTTAATACAGTGTGTTGCCCCATTCTTGAGGGCAATTACAGAAAAAAAACAACCCAGTAAATCACAATTATAAAAGAGAACCATCCATCTGCAGGTTCAATAGAATCCCTAGCGACTATAAAAGACATGTAGTGGAACAGATAGATCTTTAAGAGCTCAGACTGCAATTTTAAATAATTGGATCAGTGCATTAGGGTTAAGCTTGGTATGCAAAACTCAAGATTCCTGCAAGCGATGTGGATGCAGGGATCTCCACTACTGCACTATTGTTTTCTGACAGCAGGGATTTCCTCCACTTGAATACACAGATCAGCGCTGCAGTTGCTGACCAAATGCTGGTTTTCCAGCAGGACTGTTCGACAGAAGTCGGTTCTTTGACTGGCTTCTGTTAAACAGAGAGGAATGCACACATCGAAATTTAGATAAACCGGACAAATTTCAATACATATATACCCTGCTTAACTAAGATAACTAAGACACTATACTCACCTCACTCTATTCTATCAATTCTCATTTAGAGGTAACAACATTTTAATAGAATTAGCTACTTTTAGGGTGAATTCAATGGTCAATTGTAATACATTATGTATGGTTAATCTGATGATGGAAATTACATTAAAATCAACAGTTATCCCTAGTTCATTGCAGTTAATTTTCCAGGAATCCATGTTTCCTACTTGTGATGTGAAGCGATCTTATTGCTGTGCCCATTATTTGCTCCCCTCAACGGGTTCTGGATATTAAATTTTTACCATCACTAGTATAAAACCTAAACACATTTTATTACACATTATTTTTAAAAAAAACTACATAAATCTATAAGAACTCTGCATATGATAAACAGTTATTTTACTGCTCCTCTGGTGCTTTTGCTAACAAATGTGACTTTACCACTCTGCCAGAAAAAAAGTATTCCACCCATTAAAACAATATAAGAGGCTACAGTGAAGTCAGTTTATCTATGACAGTTTGCGAGAAAGGAATCCAGCTTCTCGTTTCTGTGGCATTTCATAAATTAATAAAATGTTATATTTATCATTTCAAAAGATGTTTCTGAAAAAAAAATGTACAAAACGGAAAAGTAATCAAATAAATTATTAGCTAATGCCTTGTAAACATTGGTTTATTTGTTGTTAGGGTAGGGGAAAAGGAAAAATAAAGAAAAGTAAAAACTTAACAGTACAAGGCACAAATGACACGGACAAAAAAAAGTCTAGGGGCACTAAGAGACCAAGAAATGATGTCCAGTCCATTCCAATTTGGGGCTTTGTCTTAGAGGTGTCAGTTACCTCCTGTGATGCCAGTGAAGATTTGCACTTTGAAAGGACTGATAATAGCCACAAAAGCTGTGCCATGCCAGCTTTCATAGATTTGTGCTTATTTAATGGTCGCTACATCAAACAGTTAAATATTCTCCACAAAGCTGCCTGGGAATAAGCCGGTTTTGCCATTGCGCTGTAGTGTGCCTTTATACCAGCCATCTTCACGTTTCTTGTGCACAAATACAATGTCCCCTTCCTTGAGCTCAAGCTCGGCCTCACTCTGGGGAGGGTATGACACCACCACTCTGTATCTAGAAAAGAAAAATGATGTAAATCTCACATCTTACACTTTGGACTGAAAAATCATTCATAGCCTGACAGATCAGGAAGTTCTCTGATTCCAAAGTACACATTTTCATGGATAGGGAATCAATTACTGGCAGCAAATAAAAAAAAACAAAAAACAAAAAAACCCAGACAAACCACATAGAAATAAGTCTAAATGTCAGAGAATACATTTACATAAACTGCAACGCTTTACCAAGTAGGCAGAGTAGGGTTTCCAAGACAGGGGTGACACTGTGCCAGAAAAGTAGTTTGAATAGCATTGGAGCTGCTAACAAAAACAAAGATAAAAACTGAACTATTACATTCAAGCAAAGTCTTTATTATCCATGGAATGGCCATTTGCCATTGATTTAGTCATGCAATTCACTGAAATTTTTAATTATGCTTTTAGAAGAATCCAGTATTAGCCAATAAATTTCAACATTTCAAAGGATTTTTGTTGTGTACAGTCAAATATTTACAAAGCAAACATCCTGCTTATCTGAAATATTTTTCATTTTGACCACATCCTGAATCTTTAGCACAGACTTTTGCAGTTGCTATCTCTTCATATATTACTGTGCAGTATCTTTATTTTTTTTTTCTAACCTCATATCTACAATAGTTTTTATAGGAACTTACCTGTTATTATCAGAGGAAGGTTTAGTACCAGAGAGAAACATTATGCCAAGTTCACAGCACATCTCTTGATGCTGGTGCTAACAACCTCTGCAAGGGAGAAACAAGATACTTCCCCTGAAAACAAAAACTTCCCCAGAAGAAAAAGTAAGTACTGGGAACACCACAATTCTATGCTCCAAGCAAATACATAGGTTGGGCCACTGCCCCACTTCCTTCCAGTATGGATATAACCTCTCAGAGAAGAGGGTTTGACAGGAATTAGGGGTTGTTAGTCAATATGCCAAGAGACCTGACACATCAATGAAACTTTAGGTATAAAATTAAAAATGGGTGAACAGGCAGTATTTTTAATGCCACGCCTGTACAGTGAGCCTCGCAGACACAACTCACTGTAGAAATTCGGCAATGTCAAATTTGTCAGAACTCCTCTGCGTGCACAGAAGTGATGTCATCTCCGTCTGGCCAATGAAAGCAGCTGGTGTTTGGGACCTGGAAGCGGGCCGCCTGAAGATGTCAGCGGCCAGATGGGGAGCTCGAAAACAGAGCACTGTGGGATCAGAGGGGAGTATAGTTCAGCTTTAAGGAGAGCCAACAAGTACAAAGCGGAAATGAACAGGCCCATAAATGGATGGGGTGGTGGATTGGGGAATTTGATGTCAGCAGCCAGGTGGGGAGCTTGGGAACAGAGCACTGAGGGATCAGACGTGAGTATAGTTCCTCTTTAGGGAGAGCCAGTAGGTACAAAGCGGAAATGAACAGGCCCATAATTGGTGGGGGGGGGTGGATTGGGGAATTTGATGTCATCAGCCAGGTGGGGAGCTTGGGAACAGAGCACTGAGGGATCAGACGTGAGTATAGTTCCGCTTTAGGGAGAGCCAGTAGGTACAAAGCTGAAATGAACAGGCTCGCATATGGGTGGGGGGTGGATTTGGAAATCTGGCAGACACTTGTCTTTGAAGAAAGCCTTTAGCCAAGAGACATAATAGTGAGCTAAACATATGGATCAAATGGACTCAATGGGGGAGATTTAATAATACTGGAGAGTACAAAATCTGGTGCATCTGTGCATGGTAGCCAATCGGCTTCTAACTTCAGCTTGTTCAATTAGGCTTTGACAATAAAACCTGGAAACTGATTTGTTTCTATGCAGAGCCGCACCAGTTTTAGTGAATCTCCCCCAATGTGTCCAGGGATTAACCTGTGTACGCCACTGCCTCTTTCCTTGTTACGTTCTGCACTTCTCTGTTATGCGATTTTAATTTTACTTATAGATGACGTATTAAATTACCTTTCACAGATCACAGGTCTAGAGTCATTTAGTACAGGGCCCAGTGATGAGCAAGGCTGCCTGGGTGGAGGTGCTATAGGAACATTAGGATCCACCAAATTAGTTTTGCGATTCTCCTGTGCCAGTGCATTGACAGCTTCACAATCGACAGTTCCAGAAGCAGCTCGGACAGTACTGGTTAGAATGTCAGGGCCAACTGCTCCTTCCAAAGTGGCCTCTGGTGTAGTCTGTTCCAGTTCTAGTGTAGGAGAGTGAGGAGGAGATGCTCGAGGCTTTCTTTTTGTGGATGCACCGGACAACAACTTCAGCAAACCTTTTTTCTCTTTCTGTAATAAATTAAATACTATTAGAATATTTCAGATAATGAAGAATACATTCATACATTTATACATTCCTCTTTACAAAGAACAGTTATATTCCTCCCGCAATTATGCAGTACTTAATATATACAATCAATTATATGGAAAAAAGCGTAACACACTGGTCAATAAATGTTATCCCTGCAACATGTTACATAGACGCAAATCATCCAATGTCACAGATCTTTGTTATGTTAGAACCAGTATTAACCACTTGCCTGCCGGGCACTTTTACCGCCTTCCTGCCCAGGCCAATTTTCAGCTTTCAACGCTGTAGCACTTTGAATGACAATTGCGCAGCCGTGCAACACTAGACCCAAACAAAATGTTTATCATTTTTTTTGAGACAGACAGAGCTTTCTTTTGGTGGTATTTAATAACCACTGGTTTTTCTATTTTTTGCTAAACAAACTAAAAAAACTGCAAATTTTGAAAAAAAAAAAGTTTTTTCTTAATTTCGGTTATAAAATTTTGTAAATAAGTAATTTTTCTCCTTCAGTGGTGTGCGCTAATGAGGCTACAGTGATGGGCACTGATAGGCAGCACTGATGGGCATTGACAGGCATTACCTGTGGGCATTGACAGGCATCACTGATGGGCACGGAATGGCAGCACTCATATATGGCACGGATAGGCAGCACTGATTGGACCAGTTAGGCGGCACTGACGGGCACTGATAGGAGACATTGGCATTGATAGGCGGCACTGACTGGCAATGATAGGCGGCACTGAAAGGCAGTTATGATAGGCTCTGATATGTGGCATTGATGTGCACTGGTGGGCACTGATATGTGGCATTGATATGCACTGGTATGTGACATTGATGGGCACTGACAGGTGACACTGATGGGGCTACACTGATCATCAGGGCACTGTCAGCATGAGGAGAGAACTGCCAATAACTGGCATTTCCTATTTACATGTGATCAGCTGTGACTGGACAAAGTTGATTACATGACAGAGCCGACGTCATCGGCTCTTTACAGTGATCGGTTGTGTCCCAGGGACACGGCACAACACTGATCGCCACGTGCCCCCGAAGGCACGCATGCGCAGTTAGAGTGGGAAGACGTCATATGACGTCCTCCCAGAACAAGAAAACTGCCGCCCTCCTGTCATTACCTTGTATGGCAGGCAGGAGGCGGTTAAACTCTTCATATGGAGTAAGAACTTGACAGCAGTTGAGCAAAGGAACCTCTTGCTGCACCCAAAATACGTTGGCTCTTTTTAGACTTTTCTTTTAACCAACAATTAAAATTATCTTGAACAATTTTATTTAGTTTTGATCTGGTGCTTCTTTGTGTGTTTTTATGGTTTAAACAACAAGGTCCAGGAATACAGAGAGCCAACCTACCCTCCAAAATCCATAGAACCTGTAACATTGTAACACTAACATAACAAATATGAGGTAATATAAACCACCACTTTAAACTCATTGGTAAAAAGTGGATAAAGGTGAATAATACATTCACTTTTTTGGCATTGATTTTTCTTGGGTTGTGGATATTGTTATACAGTATACTATCAGTGCACTAACTAAGGTTCAACGAAGGTTTTTTTTTTTTTTTTGCTCTCATCACTATGATGAGGTTGAGAAGCACATTACCTAGCAAATTTTATTTACACCTCTGTTTGTGGGTTACTCAAATTCACTGACCTACATCCTATCCTACTGTGTAGACATCAAGACATTATTAGATATTGATGTTATGAGTCAGTCTGGTTTATTTATTAAAGGCAAATAAGCTGCTCACTTTGCAAGAGAAACTGTCCCAGAACTTAATGAATGTGAAGTTTCACTTTGCAAAGAATACCCAGTCATGTGCAAGGAAAATTTAAAAAAAAACCAAAACATAATTTTTGCTCATACATCATTGGGTGATGGAAGTCAGCAAAGCTTCATCTCAATCACTAAGCTGCTCACTTTGCAATAGAAACTGTCCCAGAACTTAATGAATTATTATTATACAGGATTTATATAGCACCAACAGTTTGCTCAGCGCTTTACATTATAGTGGGAGACAATACAGTAACAATACAGTTCAATACAAGAGGGATTTGAGGGCCCTGCTCCTTGGAGCTTACAATCTAGGAGTGTGAAGTTTCACTTTGTAAAGAATACCCAGTCACGTGCAAGGAAAATTTAAAAAAAACACAAAACATAATTTTTGCTCATACATGATTGGGTGACGGAAGTCAGCAAACCTTCATCTCAATCACTAAGCTTTGTGGAAAATTACCCTGCAACAGGATAATCCATATAATGAACTGTAATTAAACTTTGTTAGGAGTCTTGCACATTGGCCACCTAAGCCCATTCAGCATAACTGCCGCCATATTTCCTCTGTCCAGGCAGCCCAGGTGCAGTGTACAGCCTGTCATTAACTTGAATGGCTGTGTGCCACTGTACTTGTGTATACAGAGGTGCCATTGCAAACACAAGTGGGTGTTTGTACTGACAATTATATTTAAGATAAAGTCAGGGATGCAGTGCCCAGCTAACTGACATTGAGAATTTTAGTGGTGGTTGAGCTGTAGGAAGCAATAGTAGGGAATTGCTGGAAATGCGATTATCAGAAGGGGGAGGGGCAGCTTCATTTATAAACTGCCAATTTTCTCAGAATCGACAAAGTTACATTGACTCTTTAAGCAAATGAAGCAAAGTTGGTTATTCTTATTGAATCTTTTCTATTACCACTGAAGCGTTAGGATTAACCTGTGGCCAGGTTATGGGCAATCAAGTATTTACTTATTTTAAATATTTTTTTCAGGGGAGAGATAAAAGGCATTGCAAAAATTTGCAATGTGCAAAAACTAGAATTTTTTTTTATTTTTGACACTCATATAGTGTACTGACCCTTGTGCATGAGCCCTTAAGACTTAACAGCCTGATATTAGGCGAGCTGATAATAAGGCACTATAAGTGACAGCACAACATATCACCCATCCCTGCCATTGTGAAACTAAAAGTGACCCTTTCGTGACGCTTCTGGGAAGAGATCTAAAAGGTACTGTACACATACTGCACTTTAATTTAGAGTAAAAGTCTACAAAAACTAGTTTTTATTGCTGCCTTTGAGATTTTAACCCAGTTCCTGTTGCAGTGAGTGACAAAAGGAAAAGAAGTGATGGAAATCTCCCTGCAGGATCACAGCAAATATATTAATCATCATTACAGTGTCTGTTTCTAAATGGCACATTTTCATGATCGGCTTGTATCAACCTATTATCTACTTGTTATATGCAGGAAAAAAATTATTTCTGCTGACCTGATCTGTGTAAAATTTAAAAATCAATGCCTTTCATCTCCCCTGAAAATAAATTTAGAAGCATAAATACAGCAAAAAAAAAAAAAAAACCCACAGCTTTCTACTGTACAAGCCATTATGTACTTCTGGCTGTTATTCATTTTTATCCACAGAAGCACTGCCTAATAACAAAGCACAAACAGACAGCTCTTATGTCTTGTTCAGCATAATTGCTATGTTTGAAAATAAACATTAGTTATGAGAATTGCTTGTTCATGCAAGTGTTCGTGCTAAAGACAAAAATGAATTTCTAGCAAACAAAAAAAAAGGAAAAAGAAAAAGGGAAATGCTTCTTTAAAGGGTTAGCTCACCTCTTCACAAAAAATGGAAAGGTTAACTAACTCAGCCTTGGTTCACATATATGTGGTGCGGGAAACACAGCGAATCCTGTGTGTTTCCAGCACCATGTTCACGTGATCTGCTAGGGTTGTCAATGTTAAATTAATGACACCCCAAAAAAGGTCACAAATCGCAGTGCGAGAGCCTGAATTGGATCACATGGCAAAAAGAGATGCCTACACCTTATGTGGTGCGATTTGTGCCAATACAAAATCAATGGGCTCAAATCGCATTGCAAAGACTCGCATCTGATTTGAATAGAAATGCGGTGTTAGCAAGTCTCCATCTTCTGACGTCCTCTCCATCTGGTAGAACAGTTCAGGTTTTAAAAACATTGCAAAACAGCACTGGAGGCCGAGTAGGAGCCTCAGAAAGCTTCTCATTGGTCAGTGTAGTCACGTGGGCCAGTGCTGACCAATAAGCACTCACTGTTGCTGGAATTATATGGTTATATAGCCTCTGGCACTGTGTAGTGATGTTTTAAAGTGAGAAACCGTTATATTGGCTGGAGAGAGGTGAAAGGTAGGGATTATAAAGCTGCATGCAGATGGGACCAGAAGGGTGGGGAGGGTGTTGTGAGTTAGTTCACCTAACACAATGCCTTGTGGTCAATGTGTAGAGGAGAAGCCTGAGTGGGACTGGGAAGATCACGGTTATCACAGTGGTAACATGGACTACTAAAGTGAGTTCCAGCTTCCCCAATAGGGAGTGTTAGTCCTAGGCACTCTGTTGGTGTGGTTGACCTGATCAATAGAGGAATATCGTCTCCCAATCAACATTCTGAAGCTCCAAGCAGTTTGGTTGTTCCTGCAATGTTGGACTCCTCTACTGGGGGGGTCATCCAATCAGGCTTCAGTTGGACAACATACATCTATCATGGAGAAACCAGAAGTCTTGTCACAGAAAGAGGTAGAAAGAATTCTGTCCTGGACAGAAATCCATTCTCCAGCCCTGCACACTGTTCACATTCCAGGTAGGGAGAACAGTCAGATTACCTAAACTGGCAGTGCTTGGACCCAGGAAAGGGTCTCTACATTTGAAGGTGTTCAAGGACTTGTGGTAAAGGTGGGTGATGCCTTATGTGGATCACCATCAAACTGCACAAGTTAACAGTACCTGGGTTTGTTGACATGGCTACTAAAGCCCAAGTCTTGAGAGGCAAAGGGCTTTGATTCAGTGATTCCCACACTGCTAAAAGCTAGGAAGTCTACTTCTCGCAAAGTCTACCATTGTGCACATGCGCCCATCAAGGTAGACCTTATGGGTTTGGGGTGCGCATACGCAAGCCCCCTGTTTACCTGTGCTGTGATTGGAAACAGC